CGTCCTCTCGGCCCATTTCCAGACAGCGAGTGTGGGTAAGTGACTTACCCTTGCTCTTTCGTTCGGGTTTCCCCGGCCCGCGCTGGTGAGCGCTCTGCCAAGCCGCTCCTGTCTACTAGCCGGAGCAGAGACAGAGACAAAAAGGAGCTGAGAGCCTGTTCTAGGGGGAGGAGAGCATTAAACCCATGTGCTTGGTCTCATCGGACATACCCATTCTCCACCCCGCCCGGCTCCTTTTCAACCAGCACTCTTACTCCCGGATGGGCCAGGCCTTTTGATCAGCCATGGGCAGTGGGTGAAGGTAGGCCTGAGGGAGGCAAGCCTCCACCCTAGCCCCGCCCCTTCTTCTGAGGCCCCGCCTCCCACGGGACCCAAGCTTCCTCCCCGCCCCCTCAGCACAGGGAGCGGGGAAGGCGCATGGCTCCAACCTCCCTGGCCCCGGTGCTCAGGAGCAGCAACACTCCCCCTCCAATACGCCTACAGCAGGCATTCTGGGGGCGGAGTCTGGGCGGGGCCAGGCTGGCAGTTTGGGAAGACAACGCCTCCCCCTGCCTCGCACACCTGCCACCCATGACCACTGCCCCATGCAGGGGGTTGCGGCTAGCACACAACCCAGTTAGCCTCTGTGTGACCCCTGCTCCCCCAGTCTGCGTTCATAAAAACGAGTCGAAAGTCCTCGGGGAGATGAGCTCAGGCAGCTCTCGCTGTCAGGCAGAAAAGATGGAGCAACAATTAATCGCTAGGCAAGTTTTATTAAAGAAAATCACCCTAGATTGGAACATGCACTGAGGTCCTAGGCTGGATCGGGAGCGGTGAGATCTCCGACTCCCGGAAAGGAGATTTTCCAGCCAATCCGCTTCCAGCGCTGCCTACCCAGCATTTGCTCTGAGCGCCGATGAATTCTGCTGCTCCGAGCTCTTTGCAAAGATCCAGGAAACAAGGCCAAATAGGTGGCAGTGATAAGTCTCTCACCCTGGCTCCCGCTCAGTTCGGGGCCCCCCTGGCTTACAAAGGGAGCCCTCCCGAACCTGTGCTGTGGGGGCTGACGCCGCGCTCTGTGTGGGAGTCGGCAGCGTTGGGGCCATAAATCATTCTTCATTGGCTCATCTCACAAAGAGCCTCTGTGAGCCGAGCAGCGGGGGTAGGCTTTCAAACACCGTGCGTCGCTATGCCCGGGATGGCAGTGATTCAGCACGAGCCAGCAGGAAACAAAAGTGGCGTGGCCTCCAAGGACGCCTCCGCCACGTTCAGTAAAGTGCCATGACCACATGTGAGGAGCAAAATCACGGCTCCCGTGAAGGCAACGGCAAATTTCCCACTGATTTCACTAGGGTTTCCCTCTAGAATGGCCCCAGCTGATTCTGTTTCTAACTCGCCCGGTCACGTTCAAGCTTGCAGAAGAAGGCGTCACAGAGCTATGTTGGAGGTCAGAGGAGACGCGGCGGGTTATATCCCAGGGTATGTCTAGACTACATGCCTCTGCCGACTGGCATGTAAATTAGACATACCGACATAGTCAACAAGCGGGGATTTAAATATCCCCCGCTTCGTTAGAATAAAAATGGCCGCTGCGTTGTGCCGGCTCAGCTGTTTGTCCGCACAAAGCGGCAGTCAAAACGGGGATCGGTCGGCAAGGAAAGCCTTTGTCAACTGATCCTCTAAACCTCATTTCATGAGGCATAAGGCATCGGTCGACAAAGGCTTTCCTTGCCATCTGATCCACATCTTGACTGCCGCTTTGTGCCGACAATCAGCTGAGCCGGCACAGCGCGGCGGCCATTTTTATTCTAATGAAGTGGGGGATATTTAACTCCCCGCTTCATTGAGCTCCCTGGGCGCGCTTGAGCTGTCCCCCTGCGGGTGTGCTCCACGGCTTTGCTCCCCGTCTCCCTGGTCTGCAGGGAGACGCGGAGCACG